GCGGCTCGGAGGCCGGCCCCACCGCTAGGCGCACGCCCGCGCGGTCCCTCGACCGACCCTGGCCCGCGGGGCGGCCCGGGCGCGCCTGGCGGCTGGCAGCCGCTCCCGGCGGGAACAGTGAAGAGCTTGTTCCCGGGGGGCAGTGGGCACCGGCCAGGATCCCGGCCCGGCCCGAGAGCCAGGCCGCCGGCGGCCCCAGTGCTGGTGGGCGGCTCTTTCCGGGGTGTGAGGGAGGAGTTGGAGGGTCTACTCCGTTTTCACGTCCTCGCTGATTCTCGCTTCTTAAGAATTTTTCTCAAGAGGGTTGCATTTTTTTGTGGTGGGTTTGTGGTTGCGCGAGCTCATCACTGAAAAAACGGAAGAGGGAAGAGAGGAGGTGGAAAGGGCGGCGAGTCGAGGGGGAGAGGGGAGCACGGCGGTGCCTTTGGGGCTGTGGGAGGCAAAAGCCGACAGTGGGATGTGACTGCTCTCTTTCCAGTTTAAGTTAAGTTTGCGTTGTTTAGACAGAATCTCAGAAGTTAGAATCCGGTCCCGCGTCTATAGACGATAAAACCCTTAACGGTGAAACAGCGGCGGCGCGCGGACCGCTCTTGGAAGCTAAAACGCACCATGCCGAGCGAAACCAGCAGCTCTGAGGGCGTGATGCTGCCTTCTGTTGCTTTTCTAGACACTTTCTCTGTCCGGTTTTTGAGGTTTTAATGTTTTAGGGATGTGTGTGTGTGCGCGCGCACTTAAGGCAAACCTTTTGGCAAGGAAGGCAACGCTAAAAGGAATGCATACATACAATAAACAAATCATCATTATAATAAGAGTTTAATGTTGCTGCAGAATTTCCGTTTAAGGGATTGATTCTTGGGTGCAACTGAGAATCTACTTTGGGAAGGGAAGGAGAAAGGAATTAGTTCCGAGTGTCCGCTAGGTGTCCGGTCATTTATGCTTTACAGAACAGCTGCGTGTGGTCCTCACACTTCCCCAGAATGCGTCAAGCCAGTCTTATTTATTTACTTTTAAGCTTTTGGGACAAAATATACATGATATAATTTACCCTTTTAACCATTTTACTTGTACGGTTGAGGGACATTAAGTACATTCACATTGTTGTGCAACCACCATCACCATCCATCTCCAGGACTTTTTCATCTTCCCAAACTGAAATATAGCCATTAAGTAATTTCCCATTTCCCCTTCCCTCAGCCCTTGGCAACCACCATTCAACTGTCTGTCTTTGTGAATTTGAGTACTCTAGGTATCTCATATAAGTGGAATTAAACATTTTGTCCTTTTTCTGACTGACTTATGTCCTTAAGGTTGAAACATTCTGTAGCATGCGTCAAAATTCTCCTTTTTCAGGCTGAATAGTATTCCATTACACATATCTACCACATTTTGTTTATCCATTGATGGACGCTAGTTTCCACCTTTTGACTGTTGTGAATAATGGTGTTAGAAACGTGGTGTTCAAATAAATACCTGTTCAAGTCTCTGCTTTCAGTTCTTTTGGGTATATCCCCAGAAGAGGAATTGCTGGATCATATGGTAGTCCTATGTTCAATTTTTTTAGGAACTGCTTACTTTCTTCTGTAATGACTGCGCCATTTTACATTCCCATTAGCAATGCACAAGGATTCCAGTTGCTCTGCATTTTTACCGAAACTTACTTTCTGTTTTTGATAATAGCCATCCTAAGGGGTTTGAAGTAATTTCTCATTGTGGTTTGTTTTGCATTTCCTTACCGATGAATGATGTTGAACATCTTTTTATGTGCTTATTGGCCATTTGTATATCTTACTTGGAGAAATGTCTATTCAAATCCTTTGCCTGTGTTTTGATAGGATTACTTGGGTTTTTTTGTTGTTGAGTTGTAGCAGTCTTTATATATTCAGAGTAGTAATCCTTTATCAGATATGTAATTTGAAAATATTTTCTCCCATACTGTGGGGATTGTTTTTTCATTCTGTTGATAGTGTCCTTTAGTGCACAGATATTTATATATTGATGGGAGTCTGATTTATCTATTGTTTCTTTTATTGCCTGTACTTTTAGTGTCATATCCAGGAAATCATTGCCTAATTTGATGTCATGCAACTTTCCCCCTTGTTTTTTCCTAAGAGTTTTGTAGTTTTCGCTCATAGGTTTAGGTTTTTGATCTATTTTGAATTAATTTTTGTATGTGGTGTAAGGTAAGAGTGCAGATTCATTCTTTTGCATGTGGATGTCCAGTTTTCCTAATACCCATTGTTGGAAAGACCGTCCTTGCCAACCTTGCTTTTAAGACGTGGGGTTCAAGGCTTAGACTGTGTGTTAGTTAGGATTCTCCAGAGAAACAGAACCACTAGATAGATACTTGTTTATTTATCATAAGCTAGTGGCTCATGGAATTATGGAGATGTTCCACGATCTAACATCTGCAAGACGGACATCCAAGAAAGCCATTGATATAGCCTGAGGGCCTGAGAGCCGGAGGGCCCATGGTGTAGATTCCAGTCTGGGCCTGATGGCCTGAGAACCAGGAGCACCAGGACAGGAGAAGATCCATGTCTCAGCTCAGCAGTCAGGCAGAGAGGGAATTCAGCCTTCCTCTGTCTTTTTGTTCTGTTCAGGTCCTCAGTGGGTTTGATGGTGCCCACCTACACTGGGGAGGGCCCTCTGCTTTGGTCAGTCCAACGCCTCAAATGCTAATCTCCTCTGGAAAAATCCTTACAGACACACCCAGAAATACTGTTTAATCAGAGATCTGGGCATCCTGTGGCCCAGTCAAGTTGACACAGAAAATTAACCAGCATAGAGAGTATAAATCATTTGCCCAAAAAAGGCTGTGTAGATCCTAATCTGGGGCCACACAGGACCCTTTCCCCTGAAAGACCCTCTAATTCATGCTTTGCAAGGTGTGCCCACCTTGCTGAAAGAAGGACTGGTAGTTTTTTTTTAACTTAAAGATTGATTTTAGACTTATAGAAGAGTTGCAAAGGTAGCACAGAGAATTCCTGTCCACCCTTCACCCATCTTCCCCTAATGCTAACGATTTATATAACCGTCAAAACTTAAAAAAAAAACAAACAAACCATGAAATCGACTGTTAACTATATTGCTGATTTTGTTTGGATTTCACCAGTTATTCCACCACGACTTTTCTGTTCCTGAATCCGATCCGGGAAACACACTTAGTCCTTAGTCTTTAGTCTCCTCTAATCCGTGACAGTTTCTTGGTGTTTTGTCTTTCACGACTTTGGCACTTCTGGAGAGCACTGGTGTTTGTATACTGCCCCGTAGTGTGGGTTTGTCTGATGTTTTTCCTGATGGGACTGAGGTTATGGATTTGGGAGGAAAATGCCACAAAGGTGGCCTTTTCATCACGTCGTATCTGGGGGTGCGTGATATCAGCGTCGTCTCTCTGACCACTGGGGAACTGACATTTTGTTGTTTCTTGCTTTTCAAACCTGGGCCATTGCTATAGCCTCCAAAATTCCCGTCCTGGGGATGCTACCACACTTCTGCTCCAGCCTGTTCCTCTGTCATTTGTTTGTACATGAGATCTAAAATGGCTCTGATTGTTTATTGGATCAAATTCAAACTTCCCGACCTGGCCTTTCAAACACTCACTGTATCCATCCAACTTGACTCTCCACTGTCCACGTATGGCTGCTTCCTTTCCTTCCCTCTGAGCCAGTCTCAGCCTGCCCTCGGGCCAAGGCCTGGGTTTCCTTTAATTCAAGTCTCCATGAAATTTCTTCGACTGCTCCAGACAGCAGTGAGCTTTCTCTTCTCTGAATTCCTGATCTGTTTTTACAATCTCACTTTATGTGTTTTTTCTTTTTCCCGCAGGTGTTTAATGTGTGTGTGTTTGTCTTTTCTCTGTTGGATAGAAACACAGTAGCTACTTCACTCCTGCAATTCAAGAAGCACCCACCTGTTTTGTAAAAAAAAGAGTTCATCCAGAAATTGATGCAACATTGTAAACTGACTATACTTCAATAAAAAAATTTTTGTTAATTAAAAAAAAAAGAAACACCCACCTGAAATGTACTAGAGATCGTTGGGGCTAGTAGGTGGAAGATAGATTTTGAATAGAATTGAATTCTAACACTTAGATTACATTATAGGGTCCTTGAGTGTTAAGGGGTAGACATTATCCTCCTTTTATAGGTAATAAAATTGAGGTTCTACATGTAAAATGAATTCCATTTGCGTTTCCACAGGCGGACGGATCTTTTCTCTTTTACATATTTAACAATATGTCACACAAGTTCTCTGGCCACTCACCATGTTTATTTTTCACTGCCTCCCATCCGACATCTCTGACACCCAGGGGGTGGTTCTTGGGGATTTCTGAGGATGCTCCAGAAGTGTGGGATGATCTTCTGCAGCTTTTGCCATGGTCTGTTTGTGGCTGCAGCAGGATGGCCAGTGTAGAGCTGCCCCTTTCATAAACCAAAAGTGATTGAGTGCATGGCGACACATACTGTAGAAGGGGCAGGGCCTGAGGACACAGGCCCTCTTGCCCACTCACCCTCTCTGGTAGCTCAGTTCAGACCTGCCTCCCTCCCCAGCACCCTGGAGGCAGATGGCTGTGCAATATGCAGTCTCTCTGCCCCAGCGCCCTCAGTCCCCAACAGCAGATAACAGCGGCAGCAGCATCTCCCATGCCCCATCAGACCTTGCCCCCTTCCCTCAGTGGAGCTCCTCCCTCCCCTCAGCCTCCCTCAGAAGAGACATGGAGTGTGGGTCTTTCTCCCTCCAGGTGGGATTGTGACGCTTTAGCCACAGGCAGGAGGATGGGTGAGACTTCTGGGACAGAAACCTCTTGGCCCCTTAGTGGACAGGTTTGAACATCACTGTTGTTCCTAAGCGTTCTGGGGGCTCATTTTCCTGATGCAGGACCCCTGGGCTGGCACGTCGTATGCTGGGCTCAAACCCCTCCTTGGGGAGAACGTCTGCAATTGTGCTTACCCTCCTGCTTGCGTGCTGCCTCCCTGG